TGTTTTAGATACTGGATTGAGCATCAGAGGTTGGGGATTTGAGTCCCTGGCTCTGCCTCTAACTCTGTGAGCACTTGGCAAGTGACTTTATCTCTTTGGGTCTTAGTTTCTTCATTTCCAAAATAAGAGTATTATCATATCATCCCTAAGGTCCTTCTTAGCTCTCATCTTTTGCACAACACTATTGAATCTCCATGTTACCCACATTGGGTGCATGAGTATAAGTAAAATCAGCAAAATGCCATCCATAGATATCACTGTTATTGACAATACAAGCGTTAAGAAAATAGAACACAATAGAAAGGATTGAGGGATGATGGAAAGAACAGGGAAGAAGTCTGTTCTTTCAGTCCTGGCTCTACCACTATCTGATCACACTGTGTGATCACCAAAGCCAAAAGTCAATATATCTTTTCAAATACCATATATTCTTTTTTTTTTTTTTTTTTAAACACGATCTCACCTTTTTGTCCAGGCTGGAGTGCGGTGGCATGGTCACAGCTTACTGCAGCCTCAACCTCCTGGGCTCAAGCAATCCTCCCGCCTCAGCCTCCCAAGTAGCTGGGACTACAGGTGTGTGCCACCACGTCTGGCTAATGTTTAAAATTTATTGTAGAGTTGGAGTCTAGCTATGGTGTTCAGACTGGTCTTGAACTCCTGGGTTCAAGCAATCCTATCGCCTTGGCCTCCCAAAGTGTTGGGATACAGTATAAGCCACCGTATACAGCAAAAAACCTACACTTTCATAAATGTTTTAGGATGGTGGCTGTGGTAAGCAGAATAATGGCCCCCAACAATATCTATGTCCTAATCCCCTGAACCTGTGAATATGTTACCTTATGTGGCAAAGATAACTCTACAGATGTGATTAAATTAAGGATTTGAGATAGGGGGAGGATTAGCTGTGTAGGCCTAATGTAAAGACAAGGATCTTTATGAGGAAAGGAAGCAAGAGAGTCAGAGAAGGAGGTGTGATCATGGAAGCAGGGGTCACAGTCAGAGAGAGATTGGAAGATGCTATGACACTGGTATTGAAGACAGAGGAAGGGGACACAAGCCAAAAACTCAGGTAGCCTCTAGAATCTGGAATAGATAAAGAAATTCTAGAGCTTCCAGTAGGAATTACAGCCCTATCCAACTCATAGATTTTAGGACTTTTCACCTCTAGAATTGCAAGATAGTAAAATTGTGTTGTTTTAAACCATTAAGTTTGCAATAAATTGTTACTTAGCAATAACAAAAAACTAATACAGTGGCCAATTGAGGCCTCTATATTTAGTTGGCAGAGGGTTGAACATCAGTGGTTCTCAACCCTGGCTACCATTAGAATGACCTCTGGTGCAAGGGACATGTCTAAGAGCTCTCCACCTGACTTCAATGTACAGCTTGAGTCAAGAATCTAGCTGATAATTGCCAGGGATTTTATTAGGTAAATGTGATTTTTCTAAGTTAGAGAGTTGGGGCTGTTTTTGAGAGAATCTTTTATGTATTTTTTTTCCAATTTAAAAAAAATCACATCTCTACCCCTCTGAAAGACAGAAAAATTTATATGTATATTCTCTATTTGTGAGCTTGGGTTGAAAGAAATATTAATATTATACTGTTTGAATCAGAAGACAAAAATGAGAGAGAAAACTATATGAGCAAAACCAAGGCTGTTCTTCACAGTAAGTAGCTATTTCAGAATACATATGTTCTGCATTTTTAAACAATTGAACAATTTTGTATCTCCCAGACATACTAAAATTTAGAAATATGTAAAGCAACAATACTATAACAAAAATGAGAACTTGAAGTCTATACCCCCCTTTGTGGAAATGGGCTCACCTGGCACATGCTACTATGCGTTTGTAATCAGAGTTGCTGTAGCCTCTGTAGCTGGATGCTGGCACACACAACAAGAAAGCAAACAGAAAAATATAAGAGTAAACTGTTTTCAGTTGCTTTGGAACCTGTCAGAACAGAATCATTAATTAACAAGTCTCTGAACACACTGAACAATGATTTGTGATTTGCAAGTTGATACTTTTGGTGGTTCTAATGGAAATTCATGGTTATTAACAATACCAGGAAGTCTTTGAATAATTAGAACAGCACATTGCTCTCAAATAACTTATAAATTAAGGAAGAAATTATTAAAGATAAATATGTATTGGTAATATGTTTGGGAGATATTGGAGGGAGGAAGAGCAGATGCCTGGATTTGCTGGTAGTTGGGAAGTTTCTTGTAGGAACAAGCTTCTGAGCCACAGATGGAAAATATCAGGGCAGAGGCAGCAGTGTTCATTCTGATCCTGAAGGCAGTGGAGAGAGGAGGAGGACTGGAGTGTGCAAATGGACTTGCTTTTGGATCGGGAAGGGAGAACCAACCAGCGGAGGGATGTGAGGGCCTTGGGTTAAAAAAAAAAAAAAATGGTGGGAGAATACATTTAAAGAAAAAATGATAAGTACAGGAGAGACCAAGTTAAAGATGGAGGCAGAGAAATGTACATTTGCTAGACCCCTTGGAATACAGAAAGGCTAAGGGATGGAAAACTAATAGGGCGATAAGAGATTTCAAGGTCCCAGATTGGAAGGTTAACGCAAAAGTAACAGAAATTCCTAGTTCTGGAATTAGATCTTAATGTGACTTTACAACTAGTTACACTCTTTAAAAGTAACAGTCAGTCAAAACAATTTGTTGATCAATAGGAAATACATTTAGCTTAGTTATTGTTATTGAATATTAGCTTCTATTGTTAAAGAGTCATATCTATTGCAAAAAATGGAAGTAATATTTACTTGGATGTCAACCTGCTAAAGTATTTGATTAAGAAATTTTGCTTTTTGAGTAAGCATATTTTTCCTAATCAGGGAAGCTCTCTATTTATAAACATTCTTTATGTTTAGCCAAAATTACAGCATAAAAGCTGCTATTTTACCTTCAATATCCTGAGTGTCAATTTTCAGCTGAAAGCTGCAAACTTCTTCAGAGGTACTGGTTTTGTGAACTACAGTTGTTACCTACATTGGGGACAAGTAAGCAAAAAGTTTCTATTTAAAGTGGGAAAGTGAAGAAGGTATTATGGCAGCACTGCTGCTGCAAATGGGATGCCTGAAGGATCATTTTCATAATCCAGCACAAATGGTGTACATTAGTGACTCATTTTTGCAGCAGCTGGACTTTAAGCAAACTCCATAATCTAAACCTGAGAGGCCCAAAGTAAGCAAAATATAAATTCTGGCTGGTTAGAATCTTGGTCGAAATTCCATGCAGTCAAATCTGGGCACCTTACTCTACAGGAGAGTTCCCAAGGTTCTTGTTTTTGAACCTTTCCACTTTAATTTTACACACAACACAAGTCTAGGAAGTGTGGGTTTCTTCCAACCACACACTATCATGGCAAACAACAAATGATAGGTGTGTATAAATGGGCAGATGTACTGCCAGAAGTAAATATACTGACAGCAATCAGAAATGAAAGAAAAGTGGACAATCTCTCCTCCCCATATAAACTCACAACAGTCCTTGAAGGAATGAATGTACCAAAGATTAGAGCATGATTAAAATTATCAACAAAATGTTAATTTATGCTCAGAACATGCAATTTAAGCATGCATAAACATACTTAAACAGCCTAGAAAAATTTGCACCTGCCAGCTGGTCGTGGTGGCTCACGCCCATAATCCTAGCACACTGGCAGGTCAAGGCAGAAGGATCACTTAAGGTTGGGAGTTTGAAACCAGTCTAGTCAACATGATGAAACTCTATCTCTACTAAAAATACAAAAATTAGCTGGGCATAGTGGCATGTGTCTGTAATCCCAGCTACTGGGGAGGCAGGAGAATTGCTTGAACCTGGGATGCAGAGGTTGCAGTGAACCAAGATTGTACCACTGTACTCTCTAGCCTGGGCAACAGAGCAATGCTCCGTCTCAAAAAGAAAAAATGAAAAAAAAGTTGCAACTACCAAGTGCCTAAAATGAAAAAACAAGCCTTTATGAATAACAAGTCTCCCAAAATGCTGGATAAATGAGATGGTACAGAAAACACATATATACAATATACACATATATATGTATATATGCATATGCTATATGCATATGTGCTCTCTCAGAGCTCTTCTGAGAGAGTAACTGGATGAGATACTGAAAATCCTATGCCCACAGAAGGTGCTAAACAATGCTGGCGTTTCCCCTTTCCCCATGTAAATAAAATGTCTTGAGATCTCCTGAGTGAACCATATGCATATGCATATATACATATATAATCATAAAATTATATATCTCCATAAATACATATATAATTTCTATAAATATACAGAATGTATACATATAAAGATTAACATTGTTATTTTCAAAAAAATTGTGAGAATAGTTACAAAGATTGCTAGAAGGATTTACATAAGTGAATCTCACTTTAGTCATAGTTACTCAAGCCCAGATTTCTGTGACTTTGTGGCAAAGCCCCTAACTTTTATGTTACCTAGTACAAATAGACACATAACTCATTATTGGCCATCAATTAAATACTTACATGTACTGTAGCCAAGCCACTGCCAAATCCTGTACTGACAACGAGGTCATCATCGAGAAGCACCTGGAAAGATGGATAGAGAAACCATGCTTTCTTTCATCATTTGATAGGGAGGGAGGATAGAGCTATCTATGAAGAGTGGGCTGACACCTACCAGCCTCCTCTCTCAGAGCTCTTCTGAGAGTAACTGGATGAGACTGAAAATCCTATGCCCATAGCAGCGCTAAACAATGCTGGCATTTCCCCTTTCCCTTCTACATGTAAATAAGATGTCTGAGATCTCTGAGTGAGCCAACAAAAGCAACATATCAGAGGTCACTTCTGGTTACACTTTCATTTACATATGGCCATGGCAAACCTGGATCTTCATCTCCTTTTGCCAACTGAATAAATTCCTTTCTGTGCCTAGCTCAGTAATCAGCATCCTGTGTGCCAATGGAGATTGTTTTCATTAGAACCCAGAGCAGGGAACCTCCACATAACTTGAAAATGTGTGCATCTCTGAGCTCCTCCTTTACATCTCTTTTACCCCTTTTCCATGTCTTGATGGTTTATCTTTTCCACTTGTCACCTGCCTTTGTTTGCAGAAACCCCTGGTATCTCACCCCAAACCACTAGCACCCCACTCAAGCCTGCCAAATCCTTACTTGCTGCTGCTCTTTTTCCGACTCTTCTAGGAGGAAAGTGAAGACATGAATGGAGTTAAGTCATTCTCCTCCATGGAAACTCTGTCATCCAAATGCTCCCTAATTTGTGGAGAGTATGGGAGAGATCATTTTGAGCCTGAGGAGTTGGTACTTCCTTTACTTAAAGCCTCCCCTTTCCTTAGCTTAGCATAATAATGCAAGAAGGATTGGGCATAAAGTTTCTCGATCTTTCCTTCAAATTTTAGTAAATACAGGAAAGTAGGAACAAGAAAGAACAACTTTCTTGTTCTCCCTGATAGAATATAGCAATATTTGCTGGAAAATGAGTGTCTTGAGATACTGCATGTGAAAGGCATGCATGACAACTATGTTTGGAAAATGCTGTGCACAGTACCCTGCCTCTGCCCCCTTGTCATACCCAGAGTCACCACACTTAATCACATACATATTACAGAATAGGGAGATTCTAGATTAAAGAACTTGTTTAACTTCATTTAAACTAGAGTTTCTCAACCACCTAACACTCTCTCATGGAACACATTTCAGAAAACGCTGGAGTAAAAAATTTCACACTAGATAATAACAGCCCAGGTTTCACGTGAAAGGAACATCCTGGGCTGAGGTTTAAATTTTGACCTCAAGAAGGTGGAAGGTCAAGAGATCCTCTTTAGAGCTTAGACTCAGAACACGAATCTCTGGTGAATTCTAAATGATCCCAGGGAAAGGAGACACATTCCCAAACTAAGGACCACAAGCACAAATGCCTGCAGAGGCCTGGGCACAAAGCAAGTATGGACATACATGCACATGCATACATCCTATGACTGGTGGGGACTGCAGCAAATTGAAGAAGGCATGCCAATGCCCAGTGCCTTGCTGCCAAATCTTTTGGTTTATAAAGGGAAGTTGGGAATTAGGTTTTTATTTGAAATCTCTGGATTCTTAAATGTTGTCATGTATCTATATCTATGTTTATATCCATATCTTTTTTCTTTTATTAGGGGCCACCAGTTTGCAATTTTTGCATTAAATTTTATTTCTCTGCCAGGTGCAGTGGCTCATGCCTATAATCCTAGCACTTTGGGAGGCTGAGGCAGGGGGATCACCTGAGGTCAGGAGTTTGAGACCAGCCTGGCCAACATGGTGAAGCCCCATCTCTACCAAAAATACAAAAAATTAGCCAGGCGTGGTGCAAGCACCTGTAATCCCAGCCACTCAGGAGGCAGGAGAATTGCTTGAACCCAGGAGGCAGAGGTTGCGGAGAGCCAAGGTTGTGCCATTGCACTCTAGCCTGAGCAACAAGAGCAAAACTCCATCTCAAAAAAAAAATTTCTCATGCTTGTTTACTTTTAACAAACACCAACTTGTGAAGGATGTCAACAGTAACGACTATTTCCAATTACTGTACATTTAAATATACTTAAAAATAATGCAAACACAGTAATTAGAAAAATATGTATTAGCAGCTATATGTGGACAGCTAATATTAATATAGAACCCAGTTTTTCCAACATGTCTTTTTGTGAAATTTTCAGAAGCCATCAAAATTATCACCTTTAAAAATCCAGCAGTAGCAAAGGACATGGGGCAAGGAGCTGGGGACCCTAAAGGCCAATTCCAACCTGGCCACAGTCTGCCTGTATGACCAGGGCCAGAAAGAACTGAGGAAGGAGACCCCCTTCCCTCGGCTTGTGCTTAGGGGAAAAGGAGGAAATGAAAGTTAAAAGCCAGCCAGATAAGGTCAGTGGAGGAACCAGCTCAGCGCAGCTGACCAGGTCTGGAGTTAAAAAATTAAACCCCCTACTCCTGACCACAATCCTATCTATAGGTCACAGGCATGGTATGGAGGAACCTTATCCCGGAAGGCACTGATCTTACTCAGTCACTCAAGACCCCTATCCAGTCACGTCCCCCATGCTTATTAAATCAATCATGACCCTCTCACATGTACATCTGTTAGATCTCTGAGACTGTGAACCTTTAAAACGGCCAGGATATTCTTTGTTGGGGAGCTCGGTTGCTGAGGCATCTATGCGTGACACAGCTCCCGGCTGAATAAAATTACCACTTTCTTTCCTGTCCGATGTTCAAGAGGTTTGTTTGTGGCCACTCCTGCTTCATTTTGGTTCCCTGACTAGGAAGCAAGTTTCGGTTGGTGGACGGCTGGGACAGCCTCCCAAGTGGTTTTGACTTGCCCTGCAGAGCATCCCTGCTGGGGACTCCAGCCCGCTTGGGCAACAAGAGTCCTGAGAGTGCTCCCAGGTAGGCATTGGCTCTGGTGGAAAGCCTTGCCAAAGCAAAGCAGCATAGGCCCTTGCAGCGATCCACCCAGTGGCTGAACACCAAGAAGGAACAGGTGCCTGAAGTGTCCAGACTTCAGAAACACGGTAGGACTTTGTCTTGGGAAACTTTCCCACCCCACTGGGTGGAAGCATGGCCTGATCACCCACAACATGCCAATCTGTTTTGGCACTTTGAGTTTGATTTTTGTTTCTTTATAACTGGTCTCAGTAATCTTGTGTTCTCAGAATTTGGGTGGTGAGCGGTGTGTGTGTGTGTGTGCGCGAGTAGGGAGGGGCCCAACTGGGCTCATTAGCTGCAAAGTGTAGGGGCTGCAGTTCTGTTAGAGTGGGCCGTATGTCCCAAGTGATTTGTGGGGCTGGTTGGGACCAGGGACAATATGCATAAGGCTGAAGGAAGTGCCCTCACAATCTAGGTATTATGGGAGGAGTAACGATCACTCCAATGCCAAGCAGTGTCTGAAACACTCCCATGAGGGGGATGGTCCTACCCGTCCGAAGTGAAAATGAAGAGAGAGAGTGTTGCACCAAAATGGGCGGGAATCTGAGGGTGGAATGCAGAGTCCCAAGTAGTAATATCGGGCAAAGTCAGTGAGAAAACTTTCTACCTTTTGGTAGTGCTGTTCTTAAGAAGATGGGTAAAACACAGAGCAAACCTACTCCATTGGGAACAATGCTAAAAATTTCAAAAAGGGATTTAATGGAGACTACAGTACCACCATGACACCAGTAAGACTTAGAACTTTGTGTGAAGTGGCCTGGCCAGCAATGAAGATGGATTGGCCCTTGGAAGGGAGCCTGGATAAGTCTCTCGTCTCCAAAGTGTGGTGCAAGGCTACAGGCAAGCCAGGACACCCCAACCAATTCCCACAGATAGACTCTTGGTTACAGTTGGTTTTAAACCCCAGACAGTGGTTACAGGGCCAGGCAGCTGCAGTTCTAGTGGCCCAGGGACAGACAGGTAGGGAAAAATCTTGTTCCACCCACCAGAGGACACAGACTCTTAAGGTCTTGGCCAACTTGGCACCAGAAGACTCTTTGCCAGTAGCACCCCTTCCAATGGCACCCCCTCCTTACTTGGAGGAGAAGTCCCCCACTCCAGAACTAGAGGCTTCTGCATCTCCACAAGATTCGAACACTTCTAAACCACCCAGAGTGGAAGGAAAAGGAAGCACGGCTTTAGGAGGCACTCCTCCCATAGCAGCCGGCTTCCCAGAAAAATCACCCCCATTGGCAGCCCAGTTACAACCCAATGTGGGAGTGCAAATGCCTCTAAGAGAACAGTGGTACACTGGGGTAAATGAGGATGGCCACATGGTAGAAAGGCATGCCTTCACATATATACCATTCACTTTGGCCAACCTCATAAACTGGAAAAATAGCAACCCATCTTACACTGACAAGCCACAAGCTTTAACTGACCTGTTTCAGACTGTCATCCAAACTCATAATCCCACTTGAGCTGATTGTCACCAGCTGCTCATGTACCTTTTCAACACTAATGAGAGGCAGAGAGTGCTCTAGGCAGCATCTAAATGGCTGGAAGAGCATGTTTCAGCTGATTACCAGAATCCTCAGGAGTATGTGAGGACTCAGTTGCCAGGAACGGACCCTCAGTGGGACCCAAATACCCCTGAGGGCATACAGAGGCTAACTCAATACAGAGAGGCTTTGCTGGAGGGAGTAAGAAAAGGAGCACAAAGAGCCGAAAACATATACAAAGCATCTCAACTTAAGCAGGGGCAAGATGAAAGTCCAGCACAGTTTTATGAAAGACTGTGTGAGGCCTTCCGCATGTACACTCCCTTTGATCCTGAGGACCCCGGGAATCATCGCATGGTGAACTTAACTTTAGTTAGTCAGAGCGCAGATGATATCAGGAAAAAGTTACAAAAACAGAATGAGTTCACGGCCATGAGCACTGCACAGTTATTGGAAATAGCCCATCAAGTTTTTGTGAATACAGATGCAGTAAGCCACCAAGAGAAGGTGTGACAAAACCGGCAAAATATCAATTTTCTGGCCACAGCTATCAGAGGAACACATTCAAAGGGGCAGGGCAAGGGAGGCCCTGGGAAAAACACCCAGTCAGATTGACCATGTCTACAGCACAACCAGTGTGCCTATTGTGCACATGGGGGGCTCTGATGGGTCCTAGCAGGCATCTGGTTGCCCATCCCCGGGGCTGCATACTTTATATTGGGTGCCATTATACAAACAGCTGAAAATGTAGCCCACTCACTTAATGTTACTTCCTGTTACGCGTGTGGAGGGACGACAATGGGAGACTGGTGGCCATGGGAGGCCCGAGAGTTAGTGCCCTTTGATCCTGTCCCGGACCTAACCTCAGTCCAAAGAATTCAAACCAACAGCTTCTGGGTCTTAAAAGTCTTGATTATTGGACAATATTGCCTAGCAAGAGAGGGGAAAAACTTCACCATCCCGGTAGGGAGGCTTAGTTGCCTGGGACAGCAATTGTATAATGAAACAGCAGATACAGTCAGTTGGTGGAGTTCAAACCACTCAGAAAAGAACCCTCTCCTTAAATTCCCTAAATTGCAGGATGCCTGGAATCATCCTGGGCTTCATTGAGACTGGACAGCCCCAGCTGTGTTGTATTGGATATGCGGGCACAGAGCGTATGTGCAGCTGCCTGAGAGATGGACTGGCAGCTGTGTCATAGGCACTATTAAACCTTCTTTCTTCCTATTGCCCATCAAGACAGGTGAACTGTTAGGCTATCCCGTTTTTACATCTCCCCGGGACCCAAGAAGACTGTCTATAGGAGATTGGAAAGATGATGAATGGCCCCCTGAAAAGATCATACAATATTATGGGCCTACTACATGGACACAGGACAGCTCATGGGGATATCAGACCCCAATTTATATGATCAACTGCATTATCCAGTTACAATCTGCCTTAGAAATAATCAACAATGAAACTGGTAAAGATTTATCTCTTTTGGCCTGGCAAGAAACTCAAATAAGAAATGCTATTTACCAAAATAAATTAGCACTAGACTACTTGCTAGTGGCCGAGGGAGGAGTCTGTGGAAAATTCAATTTAACCAGTTGTTGACTGCATATAGATAATCAAAGCCAGGCAGTTGAAAACATTGTAAGAGATGCGACAAAAGTAGCCTATGTGCCAGTGCAAGTTTGGCATGGGTTTGACCCTGCATCTATGTTTAGGAGATGGTTCCCAGCTTTAGGAGGATTTAAAACCCTCATTATAGGTGTGGTGCTGGTAATAGGTGCATGCTTGTTGCTCCCCTGTTTATTGCCTGTATTCCTCCAAATGATTAGAAGTTTAGTCACTACTATAGTTCACCAAAGGACCTCAGCTCAAGCATATTATATGAATCATTATCAATCGGTATCATTACATGACCAGGATAGTGAGGAAGAGGGTGAGAACCCCAACTAATAAATAAGTGAAGTTCTCAAAGTGGGGAACTGAGGGAGGAGATCCCCTTCCTTTGGCTTGTGCTTAGGGGAAAAGGAGGAAATGAAAGTCAAAAGCCAGCCAGATGAGGTCAGTGGAGGAACCAGCCCAGCACAGCTGACCAGGTCTGGAAGTTAAAAATTAAACCCCCTACTCCTGACCACAATCCTATCTATAGGTCACAGGCATGGTATGGAGGAACCTTATCCTGGAAGGCATTGATCTTACTCAGCTACTCAAGACCCCTATCCAGTCACATCCCCAAGACTTGCCAAATCAATCATGACCCTCTCAATGTGCATCTCTTAGATCTCTTAGATTGTGAGCCTTTAAAAGGGCCAGGATTTTCTTTGTTGGGGAGCTCGGTTGTTGAAGCATCTATGCCTGCCGCAGCTCCCAATAAAATTACCACTTCCTTCCCTGTCTGATGTTTGAGAGGTTTGTTTGCAGCTGCTCCTGCTTCAGAACCACCAGCAGACTCCCAGACATTCCTACCCTCCTACACTCACTGTACTGCTCTGTGTGCTATTATCTATGTCTGGAATGTTCTTCCTTTTTCTTCGCTTGACTAACTTATTCTGATATTTTTCAGATTTATCTGGACACATTTGACAAACTCCTTCCTTCTTTCAGCCAGGATCAGGAGGCCCCCTCTGTGCTTCCACGTACCTATCAAGACTCTTATGTTTCATTATCTGCTTAAATGACAGTCTCCCTGTAATACGCTGATTCGTATTTTATTTTTGAATCCTCAGTGCCCAGTATATAGCAAGCACCCCTGCTTAGGACATAGCAGACACTCAATATATGTTTAAGTAGTGAAGAGATACATTTATAAAATAAGAGTGGAACAGATGATTTCAATGGTCTCAGCCAATAGTAAAATACTACACAATTCTTCATTTACCTCTACTGGCCTCCCAAGGAAATTCTTGTCTGTCATCTTATAATGGTGTAAGCCACCTTTGTGCTTGTAAGTGACATCGATGTCCATATTCAAGTGGAGTTGTTTAACCAGGAGTGAATATTCTGTCAGGCCCTCGATGGCATTGATTGTATCCTGTCAATAATCAGCAAGGCACAAAAATATGTTTATTTATATACTGCCTATTTACAAATGCCCTTTTTATGAGCGGGTAGGGCAGCATTGTCCGGAGTGGAAACTCCAGCTGACTCAGTAAGACTGGTTTAGGGCCCCATTGTGGAGGCAGAAGGAAGGTCTCTCCCTCCTCAACAGACACATTGCTGTTAGCAGGGACAGGAAGGAAATGTGGCCTCATATCTGGGTCTTCTATATAGACTGCAAATGTAACCTCAAGCAAGTCACTGTTTGCAGAATTCCTCTGAGTCTTTGCAGGATTATCTCTTCCTCATTCTTTAGTGTCAGCTTAAGTTATCTCCACAACAAGGCCATAAACTCCCCTCTCGCATTATTCTCTGTTTTAATGTTCCTCTTTTGCCCTTTATAGCATTCATCTCAATTTGTAATACTTTTATTTGTAGTTTATTGCTGACCTCCCCCACTACAATGTAAGATTCATGAGGCAAGTAGGTGATATATTTTTCTTGGTGTCTGACATGGTTTGAATGTGTCTCCCAAAGTTCATATGTTGGCAGCTTGGTCCCCAATGTGGCAGTGTTAGGAGGTGAGGCCTAATGGGAGGTTTTTGGGTCATGAGGGTACCATTTTCATAAATGGATTAATGCTGCTTATTATAGAAGTGGGTTTGTTACAAAAGGATGAGTTTATATCCCACTCATACCAACCCCCTACTCCACCTTCTCTTTGCACTTCTACCATGGAATAATGCAACAAAAATGCCTTCACCAGGTGCAGCCCCCTGATCTTGGACTTCCTAGGACCCAGAACCATGAGCTAATAAAATTTCTGTTCATTATAAAATATCCAATGTGTCATGGACTAAGGCACTGTCCATTGCATTTAGTGGGTACATAAATATTTGTTGAAGGAATAAACTTTATCTTTCTGGACCTCATCTTTCTCATCTATAAAACTGAGAAACATGACAAGATCAGAGATGTTAAACAATGTGGCCACTCCCTCTGCCTGTATCTATGGCAGTGAATGCTTATCAGTAGCGCACTATTTTCTGTTAACCCTGTAGTTGTACCTGAAATGAAACACATTAGATGGTCACTAAATTAATACTGAAGGCCCTCTCTACCACTAAACTTTATATATATAGATACACACACTCCATCATTATCTAAACATCCAGGCAACAGGGAAGATATTAACATTCAAGTTAAACTTTGAATATAAGTATATATTATACAACTACATAATAATTAGTTGTAATACAAAATACATATGCAAATGAGTTTATATTAAATAGCTAGATAGATTAACATAATAATCAGTATTTCTTTCACTTTTTATTTATTTATTTGTGGAGAAGAAGCATCAGTACCTTTGTCTACATGGCAGCCACTATTTATTATATAGGATATGACATACCTGACAATAACCTTATTAGCCTTTTATGGTGATTTAGAATCATGAAGGAAGTACTGGGCTTGAGGTCAGGAGACATGAGTTCTGATTCCAGCTCTGCCATGAATTCCCTGAATGAAACTCCCTGGGCTCATTTCCTCTTTTGTAAAATAAGAGTGTTGATGCAGATAACCTCTAGGGGTCCGTCAATTCTGCACATTATTCATATCTATTGCATGCTCATTTGGTGGCCAAAGGCATGAAGGCCAGAATGAGTGTGGCATGGGAGAAAGTAAAAATGTCTACAGGAAGATGAAACAAGACAAAGAAATGTTACCTGGGTTGAATAAAAGCCGCCTCCATATCTCTGCTCTTCAGATAGCCATTTGATGATTGGGTTAACATAATTTATGTCTTTCAAGTTCAGACAGGTGAGTAAGGCATAGGCAGTTGTTTCTACCATATGTGCCGTACCAGTGTTAGGTACAGAGTTGTCTTCATGTTGAAGTTTGTCTTTCCAAAAACGATAAATGGGTGGATTACCTGAATATCAACAAATCACATTCATTAATATGATTAAAAATGTAAATTTGACATAACAATTCTATCAGGTGTATTATGGTGTTCTAGTTTCTAGAAACTACTTATTTTTTTTGTTAGAAGAACTTCCTGAAGATGACCAATGCATATTAAGATCCCTTAATATGGTTCTACTTGTCTTTATACATTGAGCATCTATAATCTGAAAATGTGAAATCTAAAAGGCCCCCAACATCTAAAAATTTTTGAACTCTGACATGATGCCACAGGTGGGTAATTTCACCCTGACCTCGTGATGGGTCACAGTCACATTGCAGTCAAAACTTTGTTTCATGCACAAAATTATTGAAAATACTGTATAAAATTACTTTCAAACTATGTATAAAGGAAGGTATATATGAAACATGAATGAATTTCATGTTTAGACTTGAGTCCCATCCCCAAGAAATATCATTAGCTATACGTTTATATTCCAAAATCTGAAAAAAAACCTGAAATCTGAAATACTTCTGGTCCCAAGCAGTTCAGACGAGGAACACTCGACCTGTTTTTTTATTTTTGTGTATGTTTTGAGACAGGATCTTGTTGTCACCCAGGCTGGAGTGCAGTAGTGTGACTGTAGCTCACTGCAGCCTCAATCTCTTGGGCTCAAGTGAGCCTCAATCTCTTGGGCTCCACCTCAGCTTCCTGAGTGACTGGAACTATAGGGGTGTGCCACCGTGCCTGGTTATGTTGCCCAGGCTGGTCTCAAACTCCTGGGCTCAAGCAATCCTCCTACCCTGGCCTCCCAAGGTACTGGGATTATAAGCATAAATCACTGCATCCGGCCTCAATCTTTATTTTAAAATCAACACAGTACACATGTACTAGGAAGGGGCGGTTTAGTAGAGTGGAAAGTGCAATTAACTGGGAATTAGTAGACCCAGCTTTTAGTCTTTCTTCTGTTACTAGCTTACCATGTCACTGGGGGCAAATTCCTTTAATTCTGTGTGACTTCGTTTTCTAATAACTATAGTATAGATAATACTTTCTTCCATGTAGTGAAACTCAAATGAAATATGAAATATAAAAGATTTTGTAAACTAGAAAGCACCATGCATATATAAAGGATTTTTGTTATTATTACTACTGACAGTAAAAAATAAACTGGATAACTTTTCCTGATAGGAAAATTTACATCCTGGAAATTATGAGATTACACCTAAAGCCTTAGTTCAGTCTTTTATTATTTTTTTCTAATTTAAAGCACTCAAGACAGTTTCATACATGTAGCACTTTTCATAAATTAGGCTCTAAATTATATTTGTTATTTAAACCTATAAACCCCAAATCCTTTTGGGAATGAACTTAAAAAAAAAAACAGTAATGTATATTTGGAAATCATTTTTGAAAGTTAGTCAAAATTTTGATGTATATATTTATAATTCATAACCACATTATTTGCATGACCTTGAAAAAGACATTGACCCTTCCTCTGAGAGTCTCAGATTTGCCGTATTTTTATTTTCTCTGAGATAGAGTCTTTCCCCAATAGCTCCCCTTCTCACTCTCAAAGCTGAAATTAAAGTTCTAGGGCTCCTTCTGGTTTCCACAGCATGTTGCTGTGGATGAGTCATGGGAACTCCTTGCTCTGGGTGGAAGCACCCTAAACTAGGGTACGTGGCCAGGGGAGTGGAGCACAGGCTGGATTTCAGCCTTGATTCACTTGCTTCCTTAGGTGATTTGTCCACTGCACAACTGTTTACAGAAGCCCTGAAGAGTCTCTCTAATGCCTTAGATGACCTTCCCTTGCTTCTTCACCTTTGCCTTCCCTGACCTCACTTCCTACTCCTCTTCTCACTCATTAGCACTCACACTGGCCTCTGTGGCATTCTTGGAGCACCAGGCATGCCCATGCCTCAGGGCATTTGCACATTCTGTTCTCCACCAGGAACACTATTCTGGATAGCCACAGGACTTGCTTCTTCACCTCCTTTCAGCTCTTGGTGCAAATACCATCCTCTCAGTGAAACTTAAGCCCAGTCAGCTTGTCTAAAATTACAACCCATCCTCTCACCTTATCTTCTTTCCCTGCTTTATTTTTCTTCCTATCAGACATCACTGCCTATTCACAAAGCTTTACTTATTTATCATGTTTGTGTCTCCCCAGTTAGAATATAAGTTTCCTGATGACCTGGATTTTGAGGATCCTGTTTTGTTTATTGCTTTATTCCCAAAGACTAGAATAGTGCCAGATATATAGGAGGTATCCAGAGGATACTCGATGTATATTTATCGAATAAAGGAATAAATAGAGGACAGGCGTGGTGGCTCAGGCCTGTGATCCCAGTACTTTGGAAGGCCAAGGCAGTAGGATTGCTTGACCCCAGGCATTTGAGACCATCCTGGGAAACACAGTGAGACTTGTATGTGCAAAATATAAAAAGAACTGGGTTCAGTGGTGGATACCTATAGTCCCAGCTACTTGGGAGGCTGAGGTGGGAAGATCACTTGAACCAGGAGATGGATGTTGCAGTGAGTCACGATCGTGCCACTGCACTCCAGCCTGGGTGACAGATCGAGGACCTGTCTTAAAAAAAAAAAAAGAATATTTTCTGAATGAATACATGAATAAATGAATGAATAACAGCACACATTACTTTGTATTGTGATGGTTTGCTCCTTGAGGACAGAGATTGCATCTTATTCAAGTTTGCATGCCACCACCCACTTCCCAGATTTAGCAGACTTTATGGCTTAGTGAACGCTCGTTGAATAAATATATGGAACAAGTTATACCTTTAACCAAAGCTTTTCTCTTCAAAGTTGAAACAATTGAACGAAACTGCGGGTGAGTTTTATCTCCCAGGGAAAGAGCATAGGCAGCAATGGCCAATGTAAAGGTGCTCTGGGCTGGCAGTGTATTTTCAAGCAGAAAGGTGTCAGCTTTAATTAGAGCTGTGTTGATTTTCTGGAAACAAGAGCAGAAGATACTTCAGTTTCTATGCCAAGCAACCACCTATCAATTGATATGAACTACCATCAGGTCCAACTGTCCTGGAGTAGGCAAGATGGGGGTTAAAAAGAGGACTGACCTAATGGGAATGGATGGCTTCTCAGTGAAACAAACCCCTCCAAGAGAAGGAGCAGAACATAATCTTGGAAGAGATAATGAAGACCAAATCAGGTTAAGCTTTTTGTCTCTGAATTCTCACCTTCCTTTTAGAGGTTTTGTGCCTTTAGTTTCTGATTATATCATCAGACCTAGCCTCCAGGCAGAAAAGGTACCGAGCACAGACACAACTCTTATCGTTCCCTCTCAGCATAGTTACAACAGGCACACATGTTCAAAAGGAGGTATACTTTTAAAAATTAAAACAATAGAGGCAGAAGGAAAGCCAAGCTGCCAAAGTACTTTTAGATCCTAAGAATGCCAGGGTAAATAGTCCCGATCACTAGTTCCGACACCACCAAAAGGGTTATGTTGGACAAGTGGGCCAGGAGAAAGCCTGCCGCAATGCTGCTAACATCCTGCCTGTCTCCTTCTCTCCCAGCTCCACAGGCATCTCTCACCCATGTGGCCACTAGGTGCCAACTGGTCCTCTAGGCTTCTGGGAACTGGTCATCATTGATTATTTTGTTTTGTTAAGCTTTTGAAACAAACTGAAAACAAATAGTTTTGTTTTGTGATTCCAGTTCTGAAAATCTCCTTGAGATTTTCCATCTCCACCCTGATTTGAAGGACACATCTAATTGACTTCTGATTTGCAGGCAGGAGTATTTAACCTCAGCTCAGGAATCATCTCTTCCCAGACCAGGGTATCACCTCAATTAACCTTGGAAATCTTCTATGTTGATTCAGTTAGGTGGATCATCACTTTTCTCCTGATTTCTAAGCAAGTGAAACAGTACAACCCAAAGAAGCACACTTGCTGTTGTGTATCCCCAGTACTTGCATGATAGAGTGCTTTCACTATAGGATAACAGTAACATATATAAAGCAGGATTTAGGGGAGATAAGAGAGAGAAGCTGGGGGCACTGGATCATTCTCCCATCACAGTCCCAGCTATCAGTTTTAGACCTAGCTCTACAATTTATTAGCCTGTGACATTGTACAATTGAATTCACTTTACTTACAGTCCTCAGCTTTCTCAACTGTCAATGAGTAGGTTGGATTAGGTGGTCTCTAATATCTATTATAGTTCTGAAATATTTCAATTCTGGAGTTTAAGTTATTGTCAAGTAATTGAAAAGAAGGAAAAGAAGCTTTTGAAACTAAAGGTCTTCTGATTGGCGGCCCCTCCAGTATACAGCATAGAAAGATGATAGGTGTTAGAGAAAGAAATCTCTTACTTACCTCCAGGGGGCATATAGCAAAAGCCTTTCTAATTCCAATCACAGTAAAAGCTGTAAGATATAAATTGTTTTCTTGGGCTTCAACAGGCAAGGTACCCTAAAAAGAAGCAATGTTTTAAAAGGAAAGTGAAATGGTGTATTTAAAGTGAAATGACCTGGTTCTACTCTGTGTTTTAAGTCTTATCTCCCATTCTTTCCCTTCATGCACTGCAGGTGAACTGCTTCCCATTTCTCAATAAGCCCTAGGTCTATCTCACTTGAGTGCTTTCACTTGCCCATCTCCCTCCACCCCATTAAATGAGATGTCTAAGATATCATTTCTCTGATCTCTAGTGAACTGTCTGAAGATCGCTTCACTTCAGTATTATGGGAAGGCCTTTGCATTTTTTGCTTTTTCACAAAACAAATTTCTTGCAGAATTACATTTTTTTCTTTCTTCTTCTTCGTCCTCCCATAATCAGATGAGAATAAAACTTAAACTGTAAATAAAACTATTGCTAATTTGTGCATTTGGTTTTCTTACCTGTAATTTTATTGGTTGATACTGTGAGTTTTCCTTGAAAGATCCATTATCTAATTGATGATTCTCAACCAGCCACAATAAAGAATTACAAATTGAATTTCGGTTCTGTTCTACATATTTGTTTACTTGTCCAAGTACTCTTAAAGCAAAAGCTGTTAACCTTTAAGACAAAATCAAATAAATAAACATTTAGAACACTGAATCCATTTTGGCCTTCAATTAGTTTATTCTTCAAAAGAAAATAACATTTTAAAATATACAAGTTCAAAGTAAGTCACCATTTTACAAAGGAAGGGAAGATTTTTGGAATATCTCCAAAACATTCGGTAAACAAATGTGAATAGCACAATTTTCTGTGATTACAACATCGTTAGCTAGCACACAGCTAAAAATTGATTCCTGATGATAAAAACATTACACCATAAAGTTAAAGATAACAGAGGTAAAAATAAATAGTTTTGAGTCAAGGCACTGACCCATGAACATGAGACAGGAAAGTGTAAATCATAAAATTCTAGACTGTAAAATTTGTACACGCCACAGAATCTAAATTCCTATCTGAGGTCCTAAGTCCCCTTTCCCAATGTCCCTGGAGTGTTTATCTCACTTGTCCTTGAGTGCTGCCATTGACACAGAACCTATTACCTCACAGGAAACTTTAATGATCATGATTGCTTAGTCAAAAAGCAATTTCAAGTCTCTACTAATACCCATCGAAGAGTATCAGAGAGGACTGAATGCATTCCCCATAACATCTCTTCACTCTCTCAGTCACCTAGGAGCCTCCACTCCCCAGGTCCTCAGATGTCTGAGACTCAGACCACTTGATTCGCCCTCCCACTTCCCCTCAATTTAAAAATTTGTGTTTCTTTTTCATTTTCATTTTAAAAATGCATTTTAAGCATTTTTAAAGAGGTAAAACCTTCATATGATTCAAAAACCCAAAAGTGAAGCCTGGGAATCATAGTGAGACATTGACTCTACAAAAATGCAAAAAACTAGCCAGGTGTGGTGGCATGCACCTATAGTCCCAGCTGGTTGGGAGGCTGAGGTGGGAGGATTGCTTGAGCCCAGGAGGTAGAGGCTGCAGTAGGCTGAGATTGTGCCACTGCATCCAACCTGGGTGACAGAGTGAGACCCAAGGGACATATAATGAAAAGTCTCTTTCTAACAGTCCCTGTCCCCCTCCACCTTCCAACAGATGACTGTTGTTTCTTATGCATTCTTCCAAATAGTAGATATAAGAATATAGCCTTCCCATCTACTTTTTCATCCCAACACACTAAAATAGTGGGAGAATATTTACATTATCCTGTGCTTGGCCTTTTTTCATTTAGTAACATGCTTTAGAGATCTGCATTAATATATAAAGTTTCCTCATTCTTTTACAAGTGATTTTATACATTATATTACAATATTTTGGTACAAATGCACCAAAGCCATTTAAGCCATTTCCCTTTCTGTAGACATTTAGGTTATTTTCCAATTGCTTTGCTCTAATTGCTTTAATTATTTTTAAATTATTATTACTGTTTTTTGAGACAGAGTCTCCGTTGCCAGGCTGGAGCACAGTGGCGCAATCTCGACTCACTGCAACCTCCGCCTCCCAGGTTCAAGCGATTCTCCTGCTTCAGCATTCTGAGTAGCTGGGACTACAGGCACCCACTACCATACCCAACTAATTTTTGTATTTTTGGTACAGATGGATTTTCACATGTTGGCCAGGATGGTCTTGATCTTTTGACCTTGTGATCTGCCCGCCTTGGCCTCCCAAAGTGCTGGAATTACAGGCGTGAGCCACCGTGTCTGGCCTAAAATTATTTTTTGATATTAATTGGAACTTGCCCCTCCACAACTAGGTGCCTTTTCCTAATTCTTTCTCTAGAAATATCAGAAATTTATCTTCTATTCTGTTGACTGAGCTCCTCTTTTTTTAATCCCCTGCACTGCTCTCAAGGAGGAGAAATATTTCTATTGGTTGCTCAGGTTCAAGGACACACATTTTCAAAGATTGGCCCACATTTTATATTGTGTCTTTCTTGGGATTTTGGCTTTTGGAAGTCTCTCCTCTTTTAGCAGGCTAGAAAGACATGTAAGTACAGTCATATGGCCAGGCCACCCTTCCACTTATCAGATATTTGGCCCATTATGTATCTTTTCTATGCTTTAGTTACATCTTTGGAAAAAGGCAATAGCAATAAATAGAAAAAATGGACTTATCCTTTGGGATCAGTTATAAGGATTATATATATGATTATACTTAAAATAGTTATGGATTACAGTTAAGTATTCAATAGGTATCAGCTTTTACACCTTTTCTTTCTTTTTCTTTTTTTTTTTTAATAGTCTCACTCTGTTGCCCAGGCTGGAGTACAATGGCACGATCACAGCTCACTGCAACTTCTGCCTCCTGGGTTCAAGCAATTCTCCTACCTCAGCCTTCCTAGTAGGTGGGATTACAGGCATGCATCACCACACCCAGCTAATTTTTGTATTTTTAATAGAGATGGTGTTTCACCACATTGGTCAGGCTGTTCTCGAACTCCTGACCTCAGGTGATCCTCCCGCCTCAGCCTCCCAAACTGCTGGGATTACAGGTGTGAGCCACCACACCCGGCTTTTATAAGCTCTTACTCTTATCTCTCCTTCCCCTTGGAACTCTTGGGTGCCTCAGTCCTAGAGTCCTTAATGAGTAGGGGTCCAGACAGTTCTTCCCTAAAGGTGAAGCAAATATATCTTGCTCTAGCTTTTTGCATTCTCCTTTTCCCACTGACTTGTCTCTTGGAGACTGCCCTGAAATTCAAATTTTAAGTGTGACTTGGAGGAAAAAATGAAAAAGTAGGCTATTTGATTTGCTTTTGTTCCCAACCCTAGGCTACCTCTACAAGTTCTTAATATGGTCTAGTTTAGTTCCTCATGTTTTACAATAGGGTCTGGGACTAAAAATTTAAGAGGAGAAAAGAATTTTTTAGTCACCTTGAAGAGAAATCTGGCAAAATCTGATAAAACTGTAAATATGTATACCTTATGTTCCAGCAATTCTATCTTCTGGGATATACCCTAGAGAAACTCTCACACATGTAGACAAAGAGACATATGAAGATGTGCATTATCACATTGTTTGTAATAGCAAAAGTTGGAAATAGCTGCCTGTCAAGATAGGAATGGATAAAGAATATATACTATGTAATATATTTGTAAAATAAAACACTACATGGCAATGAAAAGGAGTGAGCTATATTTACCTATACTGTTAGATCTAAAAAAACTAAGTATTAAAAGAAAAAGGTAAGTTACAGAATGATAGATATGAAAATAGTTATAATCATTTAGAAATACAAAAAGGGACTGTGAAGGCATAACTTCATTTTGGAAGCAAAACAGCCATTCTCTCTTTTACAATGCTTAACTTCCTTAAACAGTGCTTGCTTAAGAATTCCAGGAACTAGCCATGAGATAAAAATCAAGGTTGTGAAATGTCCCCTGGAGAAGAAAAATACCGAGCAGTTAATCTACAAACCTGTTTCAGTCTAGCTGACCACTAGATGGCCCATTAGTAAAGATAATAATCAGAACAAGACATGCTGACCCGTATGTAGCTAACTCCTGCACATAGTTTTCCAAGCCCCTTCCTCTTTAAAATCCCTCTGGCCAGGCTGGGGCATTCAGGATACTTTCGTGAGTCTAGTCTGCCATCACCTTGGGTTGCTGCCTCCTGAATAAACCTGCTTTTCCTCCTACCAAACCTTGTCTCTTAAGTTTGGCATTTGAGCAGTGAGCAGCCAAACTGGAGTTAAGTAACAGCTATGTGATTTCATGTATGTGTATTATATAAAACATTAAAAATGTTTTGGAAAGATGCATAAAATCATGATAGTGAATGCCCATGGGGGTAAGAAACAGAAATAAGATGGAGGCTTGTAGTTAAACAGAAAACTTCAATGTCCATAATGCTCTCTTTAAAAAAAATATATAGACAAACACAAAAAACATTTATAGTCAACAATTTGGGGTTTTGTTAATATGAATGGTATTTGTACTTTTAAAAATCTTTGTATTTCTCAAGAAAATTTGAGGGTATTTAGGTGCTAGACATTCTCTTCTATGTCTATTATTTCTTTCAAGGAACTTATGGAGTTGGGTCTATGTTTCTTGCCCCAAACTGTTGAAAGGCTCTGAGTGTCTACTGAGAGGCTGTTGAACCTTCCTGTGGGGCTTTCTGCTCTCCAAATGGGTTGCAATTTTAGACACAGATCTATTTCCCAGGTCCTGCTGTGGCAGTTTCCAGTCTTCATTGACACTCACTCCCACTCCTGCATCCTCGGTTATCCTCTGGGTGGTGTGCTGCAGGGGTCTACGTGTCCTTTTTTTAATATATAATTTATATATATATATATATATTTATATTTATATTTATTTTTTATAATATATAATTTTAAATATATAATATAGTTTTTATTGTTTTATTAAAGACAGGGTCTCCCTATGTTGTCCAGGCTGGTCTTGAACTCCTGTGTTTGTCAAACCATCCTCCTGCTTCAGCCTCCCAAAGTGCTAGGATTACAGGTGTGAGCCACTGCACCTGGCTCTGTGTATCTTTTAAAGTGCACCACCCACACATGGTCAGACCTATTTCTAAGGTATAATCGATGGAACTTGGTAGCTGATCAGAGATAAAGCCAAAAGGAAAGGAAGGAATCAAAAGCAACTGATGATTCTGACATGATCAATGGGGGACAAAGGGCAAGGTGTTGCTGTGCACTGAGTAAAGAAACAGAGAAATGTATCTGAGAAAGAAAAAAATGAATTTGGTACATATTGTTTGAAGGGCCTTTGTCTCCCAACAACCTAGAAATGTGGATCTAGGACATTTCCTAACTTCTTAGGAAAGAACTTAGGCCTTGAGACATTGATTAGGAGGGCATTGGCCTAGATGTTATGAAAGTCATGGGCAAAAATGAGATTGTACCAGGAGAGTTTACAGAAAATAAGAGAGCCAAAGACAACTTTCTGGGAAATCTCAATAGTTAATGAAAAAAATCTAAAATTAAAGTATTCTAGGTTGTAAACTCCTTAAATATGTTTCATACAGAACCTACAAAGCAGCTGGCACATCGTGTCTATTAAACATTTTGTCATAGCACGATGGTTTTGTTTTTTTGTTTTTTGAGACGGAGTCTCAATCTATCACTAGGCTGGAGTGCAGTGGCTTGGTCTTGGCTCACTGCAACCTCCACCTCCCAGGTTCAAGTGATTCTCCTGCCTCAGCCTCACAAGTAGCTGGGACTACAGGTATGTGCCACCATGCCCAGCTAATTTTTTTTAATTTTTACTAGAACTTGGGTTTCACCATGTTGGCCAGGATGGTCTTGATCTCTTGACCTCATGATCCATCTGCCTTGGCCTCCCAAAGTGCTGAGATTACAGGCATGAGCCACCATGACTGGCAGGTATTTTTTGAAAATAGACTGCCATGTGGGCTCTTAATTAATTCACACTATCTTTCCCTCAAATCATCATAATTTTGGAAGTTATGGTTTATTGAATAAATACTTATAGAGCCTCTACTATGTGTCAGGTACATACCATGCACTAGAGATACTTAGGATGTTCCCACATGGAGCTTACATTTCAGTTGGGGAGATAGACAATAGTGGAATAAGCAAGAATGTTAGTAATTATGCTGAGAAGAAAAATGATACGAGATATTGGAAGGGGAATGAGTTGCAGTTTTAGACATTATGATATAGCAGAGGCCTCCCTAAGGTGACATTTGGTAAAGACCTGAGGGAAGTAAGAGCCAGTCCTGCTGATACCTAAGGAGGAGTGTTCCAGACTGAGAAAACAGTCAGTGCAAAGGCCCTGAGGTGAAAACATGCCTGGTGCATTTGAGGAAGGCCAGTGGGGCTGAACTGAGGGGAAAGAGACAATAGGAAATAAAGTAGGAGACATGAGGTGGAGCCAGATCATACAGAGTTTTGTAAATCACAATAAAAATTTTGTTTTTTACCCTGGGTAAGATGGGAAGCTCCTAAATGGTTTTGAGTGGTATGATCTAACATATGTTTTAACAGGATCACTTCAGTGGCTATGTCGAGTATAGACTGAAGAAGATCCAGGGCTGAACCCAGAAGACTAAGGGAGGCTAGTGCAAGAATCTAGGCAGGAGAGGAAGGTGTCTTGGAACAGGATGGTGTAGTGGAGTTGGTCAGAAGTAGTCAAATTCAGGATATATTTTGAAACCATATCTGCTGGATCGGATGTGAATTATAAGAAAGGAGTGAAGGATGACTAGGCTTTTAGCCTGAGCAATTGGAGGAATGGAGTTTACATTATGGTTATCCTTCTTTAGTTAATTAACCACTATATTAAAATGCAACTCAAAATCTTCTACTTACCAAGTGCTAGCACTTCCACCCTTCCACACGCTGTAAGAATAGTCAGCATTTTTGAAGGACATAATGCTCACCATCCCTAAGAGGAACAAGGAAAAGAACACAGTGCTTCCGTGACCTCCGTTTCTGCTCAAAGAACACTTTATCAGCCCCTGAGAATGGTAAGCTTCCTTTGGTGTTGGGCAGAAAGCATAAGCTCTGTGGCCAGCATTGAACTTCTCAAAGGAAGTATATGAATTGCTTGAATTGGGAATTATCAAGTAGAACATTCTGATCTCATTCCAAGAGGAAGGAAGTGTTCTGTACTTTGGAATACAGGTGCCTTGTCTCTCATCCAGGCATTTTGGTAAGTTAAGTCAAAATGCTACAGAAATAATCTTTATATAGTAGAGTCCATCTCATGACGTTTTTTTGCTAAAATTCTCTTATAAAGTTTTCTATAATTCACAACTTAAATATTAGTGTAATTAAAGTTTAAAATCACCCAATTTTTATGTGAAATTCATTTTTTTTACCTGCTTTTAATTTTTTCTTCAGGTTCTGCTTTTCAGTTAATGAGTTAGGATGAAAAATGTTCCAATGATTCCCTGCTTCCAGATAGTGAAAAACATAGAATACGGGGACAATGCTCATCAGCTCCGCCTCTGCACTCCCTTTGGGGAGGTGGGTTAGGATATTGATGCCTTCCTGGCTTAGAGCTGCAGAAAAGACCTCACCTATGAGCAGTCCTGAAACAGAAAAGATCAAAATAGACACAACCGCTTTTTATTAACTTTAATAGTACATTCCGAAGAGGGAAGAACAACCAACTAGAGATGGTTCTTCCCTTTTTATCTAGGCAGTTGACTTGCTTCTCAGAAATGGGGTGAGTAAAAAAGATCTGGTTAGGAATATGAATTTGAAAGAAACAATAAAAAAGACTTTAAAAATCACTAAAATATGGTGGTAGGCAATGTAATACAGTGGACTGATTGCTGCAAGAGAACGTGGCAAATTAGTTGTCATTCAACCTGATAGCTTTAGACATCATAAACCATATTTACCAATCTTTTCCAGGAAGCAAAGCAGAGAGTCTAAACAGGGAGTGCTGACATGACTCTTTCTATAACGCACTGTGCAACCTTGGACATGTCACTTTCTTTTATATCCAACAACAGGGGTGCACATGATTGAAAAGATCCTTTTCAGTACTAACATTTTGTGATTCTAAAGTTTTATCTGAGATAAAATGTAGTCAGGACATTCTATCATTTGGTAATAAGTTACTGAATCATAAAGCCTGGAGACTAGGGAAAACCTAGTCACTTATGCAAATATCACTTCTGCAAATGTATCTAAGTGGAGGAGAACCCCTACTATGGTTTGAATGTATATGTCCCTTCAAAATTCATACACTCAAGCCTAATCACCAAGGTGACAGTATTAGAAGGTAGAGCTTTTTGAGAGGTGATTAGGTTATGATGGCTCTACCCTCATGAGTGGGAGGAGGTTGTTCACCCCTTTTTGCTCTTTTGCCTTTCCACTTTCTGCCACATGAAGATCTTGGACTTCCCAGTTGCAGAACTGTGAGAAATAAATTTGTATT